GAAGAATTAACAGTAGTAGTAGTAGTAGTAGTGCCCAAAGGACACTCAATAAATGATGTTTCTATAGTTGGTATTGAATTCCTTGGTTCAAAAATGTACATTTTCGAAGAACTAGGGAAGCTTTCTGGATAAAAAAAACCAGGTACCCTACCCCCTAGTGGTTTAAATATAAATTCAGGAATGTAGAAACATAAAAATGTTTTAATATGGTTTCTATGACATTTAAGTCATAATTAATTTTAAAATCTACCTGTCTTATACCTGTATTATATAATAATTAAATTGCTCTATAGTTTATATCTATGATGTCACAATTACAAGATTATTCTAAATTGCTTTATGATGATATTCAGGTGTGCTTTATAATTAGGTTTCTATCGTAATGCAATTTAATGAATTCTTTACCTGTAAAATACCTGTATTACATAATGGTCTATTTGTTCTATTGTTTTAGTCTATGACGTCATAATTATAGCAACAATTTTCAGTTGCTTGAAAAAGATTTAAAGAATAAATCGAAATATTGCAAAACAAAATCAATTTGTTACTTAGAGTTATCTTGAAAGTATGGTTACATGACACTACAATGATTTAAAATATTTATTGAAGGTAAGAGTAGATGGTCAATATTACATTGTGACTGTACAGATTGATGTTTTATATAGTGTTCGTTGGGATTTGCTACTCCGTCGAGTTGCCATTTTCTAGTTTAATACGTCATATTGTCCATATAATTCTAAATGTTATAATTTATATTTCCAGGGTTTTAAGGACTCTATCAATGAACTGAAATCAGAACAATTCTTCAATAAAGACTATAATGAAAGCTGACACAAACCATCTACATCCGAGTCTTACAAGAAGTGTGCAAAAAGCATGGCAATCATTGAGTTCATGTGAAATGAAACATTTAGTAAACTGATGGTTATTGTTCTTTTCAACAGTTTCTACATTTAATATGGACAGTGGTTGAGACTATTTTGTTTTTCGGGAAAAACAAAATAGAGTACAATACAAATAACCTGCAGAGTTGGCAAGAAACAAACACTAAAGCATACACTTCCCAACAGAACATACATTGTAATTAATACATGTACATGTTCTTTTAGTGAGCGAATCGGTTTATACAAAGGCAAAAACAACCTCTCATTACGAGGACTTAGTTAACTCATTATATCCTGAATAGTATCTGTAACAATCAAATTTCACCCCTGATATTACAAAATTTCATTTTCCGTCTACAGTCATTTAAATTGAGATGATTGAAAGAACACATTAAAGATCTTATGACTCAGAGGTTGATATATACAGGTACACTGTAAGCATTCCTTTACCATTACCATATAATAATCTGTTTGACCTCAAGTATTTATTAATTTCTTGAAATCCATTTTACATTTAGAATATATGTTGTTATAATTATGAAATTTTACATATTTACAACACTGCACTGTATTTTTAAATAAACTGAAATGAGAGCCATTCTGATTTCTCTTTATTATTAGTCATTGTTGCTAGCAGTTAATCTCTTGCTTTCACTTTCTATTGATTTTCGAAATTATTTCGACCATATTTTTGAAAAACCAGAGACAATTATACCAGTATATTGTCATATGTATATTATTATATATAAGCTGATGCTAAAACAGTATCAAAGGCAATGTGTTAAAAGTGTATTTACAAAGTTAGATGAAGCCTCATTTCTGGGCTTTGTATAAAAACCCTGTACCCCGTACCCTTGTTAATTGGGCATGATACAGTCTTTGAAGGGTTCAATTTTGAGCTCACATGGTGAGCTATTGCAGTCTGTCTAACTGTCCATCCGTTTGTCTGTCCGTCAATCCGTCCGTCTGGGCAATTACTCAAATACTGTTGGCCCGATTTTGTTCATATTTTGTACACATATACTTTATGGAGATAGAAGTTCTGCTCAAAAGCCGATTCTGAAAATGGCCACTCATTTAAGAATGGCGGCCATTTTAGTGCCGATTTTACAGTAATTTAGGTACAATATGTAAAACTCTAATAGAAATATGTTTTAAATGTAAAAAATTCATATAGTACATTAATAAAGCTAGAAATGTAGGTGTTAAAGAAGCACATGGCAGCCATCTTGAAAAATGGCAGCCTTTACTCGCTATTTTACAATTTTTGCTGCAACTCAAAAAGTAGTGGAGCGATTTTGTTCATATTTTGTATGTGAATACTATAAGCATGGCACACTGTCTAATGACATTTTTGGTAGAAGGCAGCCATTTTGAAAAATGGCCACCATTTTAACTTATTTTACTATAACTCGAACAAGTACTGAAGCGACTTTGTTCATATTTGGTATATGAATACTATAAGCATGGCACACTGTCTAATGACACTTTTGGTAGGAGGTGGCCATTTTGAAAAAGGATCTCTAAGATTGAAGGACTTGAAACTTTAGTGAATCTTCAGGTAAGTGCTTGTTTAAATTGATCACTGGAAATTTTGAACAAAATGTATAAAGATAAAATGCCAGTATTTTACGTAGCATTGAAGAACTCGAAGAGACATCTACTCAGTATAAGTTAATGATAATCTGTTACACTGAAAATTTTGTTCAGAATATTAAATAAACTAAATGAACATTTATATGAAAGGAATATTTTGTGGCTTAATACTGGCACATGCTATTTCAATAAACTCAATTGTATGCCTAATTTGTAATAAAAGAATCAACCCAGCAAAAAATTCTCTGCATAATCCATTTTGTTAACTAGCTACTAGACACACCCATTCATTTGACCAAAGCACTTTAAAAGTGTAGATTTTATACTTACTTTTACACTTTTTGGTTACTCAAATGGTCACACTAAAAACCCACTAATTGCTAGTTTGACTACATGTTATGAAAGGACTAGTCTCGGGTTGGAGAGCGAAGTTCATCAGTCTACTGCACGTATACTGCATGTTACTACTGCTTTGGACAATTTTGATATTTTTACATATTGTGGATTTAAATGTCCTCTTTTGAGTATCCATAATTTAATTTGGGTGTTGTTTCTATATTTTTCATATAACATTATTAGTGCAGTAGACTTATGAACTTCGTTCTCCAAACCGAGACTTGTCTTTTATGGAATTTGTCTACTGCATGTTAGTGCTGCTTCGGAGAATTTTTATATTTTTACATATTGTAGATTTAAATGTCTTCTTTTCAATATTCATAATTTATTTTGAGTGTAAGTTCTATTATTATTAGCCTATTAGACTTTTCTCCAAACCAAGACATGTCTTTTAGGATAGCATACTTGAGACTACCTAAGATAATTTGTAGTATTGCCAAATGTTTATTTAAAGACCATGTATTAAGCAGGATACAAATTTCATTAATAACCAAGAAAAATGTACCACATATTGTGTGATTGTACAGTGGTTGGTACTTGGTAGGACCACATACTTGATATGATCAATAAAGTTCAAGACATAATTGTAGGTGTTGAACCTGACTTGGAGCATATTCCAGTGTGGTTAGCTAGACTTAAATCTCTCAGGATATTTAGATGTGCCAAAAATAACATAGGATCTGTGAGTAACGTTTATGTCACATGTTTTTATGTGTTGAATGAATAGACTCATTTCAGTAAGATAATACTCCAAATTAGAAATAAAGGCATTGATCTACTGTGTTAAGTGTCACACGGAAGTGTTGTGAAAACATTGTAAGCTGAGAGATTTCTACTAATACACAAATATAATCTTTGAGGGCTCAGTTTTAATCATTTCATCATCTACTAAAAAACTTTAACGTTGCAAATTAAATTTCAAAATGAAGGATGGATTTTTGCGATTTTAGTGTAATATCCTTATTCAATGATTTCATATGCACCTTAATTATTTTTATTTTGTCTTTCTATTTTAGCTTAGTGAAATATCTAAACTGAGGCCATTACAGGATTTGTCTCAAGTCAGTTTTGCAGAGAATCCTGTTACAAAAGTGCCACATTATCGATCATATGTTATATTCCAATTGTGCACGTTAGACATCTTGGATGGTCAGCCAATCAGCAATGAGGAGCGTGATGCTGCTCAGAATAGATTCTCTCAAGGTATGTAATCTTTGAATGTAGAGGGGAACATTTGGAGGTTTCTGTAAAAGGAGTCCTGGTTCCCTAGATTAGTTCTCACTGTTTTGTCTATTGCCTATGTGCAGAAGGGATGACTTTATGGTTCTATAGGTGTCTTCATGCATGTTAATTCAATGATCATATGGAATTCATTTATTGTTGTCCCTAATATTGTTTCTCTATTTCAGATAAGTTGGAAAAGAAAGTCAGTTCTTAAAAAGAGCAACGTAACAGTTCCCTGTAATATTATTTCTCTATTTCAGATGAGTTAGAACACTTAGAGAAAATCACCAGTGAACAAGTAGAGAAACTCAGTACTCTAGAAGACCAACATAACAGGTCCCTACATGAAGTTACAGTGAGACAAGAGGAGCAGAAAACATGGAAGAAACAACAGAAGGAGAAAGAAAAACAACTGAGGAGATGAGAAGTGAAATGAAGGCCAAGGATGATCTTGTGAGTTTTATTTCAAACTGCGTTTTAGCCATTTAAAAATACTTCAGGATCTAATTATAAAGTGCAATTGAGTTTAGTGGTCAATCTTCACATTACTCAGACAGATTATAAAAATGAATCTGGACCCAATTTGCTGGTCATGACCCCCTTGCGTCGCCATCTTGAACTTTCCAATCTGGAGAGAAGAAGATATTGTTAGAGGGGTCAAGAAGCTAAATGCAAGATTACTTACTGTATGTCTCAGAATCGACCTAACCTGTGACTGACCAATGTCTTAAAATTCATACATCATTAAAACACAAACTATCATATTTTATGGTTTGAAATGTCAGCACGTTTTAAGCATTGTTGAAATAAGAAAAACCATGGAATTAAGTAGGAGATGACTCATTAAAATAAATTGACGCATTACTTCATTTACTATGATTCCAGTTAAAAAGGAAGACCATGGAGTTAACAAAAGCTTGTGAGAAACACTATGAACTGGAGCAGGAGTTGGCTTTCTTTAAGATAGACTCAAAGTTTGGAAGCCTTGGCCAGGTTCCACCTACTTATGATATGGAGGTAAGTTTAGATTTTACTCTTTACATATGAGCCAGGCCACAGGAAAAGGGGTCTTATCACAGATTTTTTCAGTGTTTTGATTTTTTGTTTTTCTTAAAAAGCACAAAAAACCTTTCAGATGAGCCATGGCTTGTGTCTTAACAATTTTTCCTTGCAGATATAGACCAAAGAGACGAATTTGAATTAAGCACATTTTCTCTTAATCTTGGGCACATTTTTGGCTCTGTAGCACAATTTAAATTTTGGTGATAAGACCGGTTTTCCTACGGCAATGCTCATATAGTAAGTGGCATTTTGAAACATCAAGAGGCACCAAATAGTGAAAAACAAGGTGTATAAAGAGAAAATCTGATGAAGGTAACAAAAATAGAATTGCAGGGAATTCGATTAAAATTATGTGAATTTAATTTTTACAAGGTAAATGGGGTTTCAAAAGCGTTATTCTCATTGTTATAGCTACATGTATCTTTTTGTGCTGGCACCTGGTGTCACATCGCTTAAGTTTACCCTATATAATTACTTTCTCCATGATTATTCCACATTGCCAACATGTTGACCATAATATTTCATATGTTTAGGACTACGATGGTGAGAATGATTTGATTGGAGAAAGCCCTTATATTGGCAGAGCACGATACCAAAAAAATCAGTATGCATTCAAGAAGAACCTAGCATCAAAGGGTCAACCAATCAGAATACAGCAATTAGCGGGAAGTAGTGATATTGGAGCATCTCCATCATTTCTCAGAGATTCACCCCAGCAGGCTGATCATAGTACAGGTAAATTTTAACTTTTATTTGCTATATTTTCCTTTATCAAGACCAATTTACTCCAGGTTTGCAAGAATGGTAAATGTATGTCATTTTTAAGAGCAGATGAGCCCCAAGATATGATGAGGTTTAGGGCATGCTGAGTAAATGACTTGATAGCCATTTTAATTTTTAGTAAAAAAGTGTGATATTCATCACTGTTTCGTGTTTTTATGTCACCACCAAAAAGTGGTGACATATTGTTATGGTGTCTGTTTTTTACGTTAGTCTGCAAATGGTGGTTGGCGGTTGGTGATTGGAATCTGAAACAGATTCTTAAAACTTTGATTAACTTAACAAATACTGTTTAGACTGACTTCATATTTTTCAAAATCATCTACAAGTTCTCAGAAATTCAGATCTGACTTAAGGTTGAACTCATAATATTGCGAGCAACTAGGTGGTGACATTTTGTCATTTTAATGCCTTGTTATTATTACTTTGTTTTGGATCCCATTTCTAACCCCTTGTCATAGCTGAGTTATCCAGTTTCTCAGAGTTTTGATCATTTTCAACATTTCAAAATAGCTTAATAGATATTCCAGGGATAATTAAAAGGTTTCAAGGAATTTATTTAAAAGATGTGATAGTAAAAATTGTTAAGAGCTATCGATAAGAAAAACAGAATCTGGTATAATTTTTATTAAGCTCAAAATTTATTTTAAATCATATAACATCCAATATTTGAGCCTAGTCAGTAGAAAAGTAGAATCCAAAATGTTATTGATTCGAGAGGATATTAAAAATCCTTAACTCTTCTGCTACTTTATGAACTGATGGAGTTAATCACTGAGATAATTGAATTACCAATGATTTATAAGTATCTTTTGTATGGAATAAAAAGTGAAATGTAACTTCTTTAATGTGATAAAACACTTTTTATTATGTAGTTAAACTCTCCCTTTGTGTGAAGTTTCCTTTTACGTTTCAAGTCTCTATCTTTATGAATCCATTATTCATGACTAGGCTCATTTATATAAGAAATAGAAGCAGTTAATGCACAAAGAGCAACATAGAGAAGTAGGGTATTCAATAAGTATTTTTCAAATATGTTGGTATTATTTTTTACATATTGCCTTATTTTTCCTAGTTTTTGTTTCTAAAGTCCTGTATACACTTACAGGCAAATACTTATAAATGAAATGGCTGAATTGCTCGAAAAATTATTTTAAACAAATTGATAAGAATGCTTCAAAAATCAAAACAGGTACTATACATATGTCACTTGCGATATTTTATCTGAGATGAAATCCTTCAAACATACTTGTAAAACTAGCTTGAAACAAAAACTTGACCACATTTCGGTCCTCTTAAGGCAAAATGTGAAAAATATAGAAAAAGGATGAAATGATTTACAAACACATTGAATTAAATGAAGACTCAGAAATACAGAAATACAGTTCATTAAGGTTGCAGTATTTTATAATTTTATCATGTCTGTCACATTTTGCAAGAAATTTTCTGCCTCCTCATTTATCCATGATTTTTGATTTATGGAAATATAGATATCAAATTCACACCATTTTAGCAATACTTATTGAACACCCTATAAATACAAAAAGTGACCCAAACCCTATAATATAAGCTACATGCCAGTACATTAAATATGCTAATATTATATTATGTATAGTACAGGGTGTCCAAAAAAACAGGACCGTAAGAAAGTTAAATAACTTGGTCGGTTTTGCATATTTTGCCTAGAAATTTCAGAGTTATTTAGTTCATTCAATGTGAATTTTGTTGTGAAAGTTTGATAATAATCTGCCTATTGAGTCAAAAATTACAGTTTCTTACAAAAATGGCTCAAATGTGCACTTCTCTCTATGCACAATTCAATCTGGTGAGCAAAGTTGTCGATGATCCTCCTACACACATTTCTTTTTGTATGAACGTTTATTCCAAGAACAATTGCTACTGGGGCTTACATTCTTCTGATGAAGTGTTACAGCATTCATTGCATTCTGACCACTGCACTGCCTAGGTGGCAATGAGGAAACATGGAATCATAAGTCCTTTTTGATCCGAAGATGACTGGGCACGTGCTTTCCCATGAACAAGGACCAGTATTTTCAAGTTTTCACTAAGTTTTGGAGGTCACTAAGCAGCAGAAGGGGCATTTAAGGAGATAGGCAGTGGTTTCAGCAAGCCAATACCACCCCAACACTTCAAATGATATGCTGAAATGGTTTAAGCAATGCTTTGGTGATCAGCTCATCTGTCACAGAACTCAAAACGTAAGGGCAGCTTATTGGCCGGATCTAAATTTCTCAGATTTTTATCTTTGGGGATTTCTCAAAGCCAATATGTATACTGACAGGCCCCTAAAAATCTTAAGAGGGCAATAACTACCCCAATTCGTACCATCCACATTGATGTGTATAGGTCATGGTCATTAACAACTTTGTTCGCAGAATTCATTTGTGCATAGAGAGACGAAGTGCCCATTTTGAGCATGTTTTGTAAGTACTGTAGTTTTTGACACAATCATCAGATTATCGTGAAACTTTCACAACATAATAATCTCATTAAATGAATTAAATAATTATTAAATTTCAAGGGAAAATATGCAAAATTGACCGAATTATTCAACTTTCTTACGGTCCTGTTTTTTGGACACCCTGTATATAAAAGTTTAATTAATTAGTAAAGTGCTGATAATATTCTGATTGACATTTTTATGCAAACATTTTTACATAAAGCTTATAATGGTAAATAAAATAACATAACATAACCTACAGCCCTTATTTTTGACAGTCTTATTATCGCCCATTAAAATCCTCAATAATATACTACACTTCAATTGAAGAGGAGGGAAAGCCCCAGAGTTTAAAGATGACACACTTAGTTACGTCTCTTGCTTTCCACCTTCGTTCGTTCTAATTTTCATCGGCTAGTTATCAAATACTACACTTCGATGGGATTTTTTTAACTGATATAGGCATATTCCGTACACCTTTCTTTATCTTGATGTAAAATGAGAAGCTATGGTATTGGTTTACACTCCAGAAACGAACATAATATTATTCGAAGTGTATTATGAAAATTTTGAAACCGCCATTGATGAAGTCATTTGTTTTGACCAATCAGCGATGATGTCATCTCAATACAGTTTTACATTATAAGCACATGTCATCTTTGAACCCTGGTGTTTCTCCCCCTCTGCTTCAATTGATTCCTAATGTTGAGTATGTTGTTTCTGTTTTACATTTGGCAATTGGCGTATATGTAGCCTCGGCAATAATACATGTCATAGAGTAATCAAACTGTCAGTTGGATTGTCAAGAATATTCTCTCCTTTTTTGTTTGTCTCGGATCATTTTTGGGGGACATTGCCAATGATTTATTAGTATCTATTATATGGAATAAAAGAGAAATGTAAAAGACTCCTTTAATGTGATAAGACACTTTTATGTGGTTAAACTCTCCCTTTGTGTGAAGCTTCCTTTTACATTTAAAGTCTCTATCTTTATGACTCCTTTCCACATGACTAGTCTCATTTCTATAAGATTAGAAATAGAAAAGCAAATAATGCACAAAGAGCAACACAGAGAAGTAGGGTATTCAATAAGTATTTTTCAAATATGTTGGGTTATTTTTTACATATTGCCTTATTTTTCCCAGTTATTGTTTCTAAAGCCCTGTATACACTGACAAGCAAATAAGTATAAATGAAACGGCCGAATTGCTTGAAAAATTATTTTAAACAAATTAATAAGAATGCTTCAAAAATCCAAACATGCACTATACATATAAATTGCATGCAATCTTCTCATCTGAGGTGAAATCCTTGAAACATATGTGTAAAACTAGTTTGAAACAAAAACTTGACCACATTTTGGTCCTCCAAAGGCTAAGTGTGAAAAATAGCAAAAAATCGGAATGATTTACAAACACATTGAAATAAATGAAGACTCGAAAAAACGCAGCTCATACTACAAACAATGCGTAAGGGCGCAGCATTTTTATAATTATATCACATCTGTCACTTTTTTGGTAAACTATTTCTGCATCTTCATTTGAGGCAAGTATCCATGATTTTGTTTTATGGAAACATGAATATCAATGGCACAACATTTTAGCAATACTTATTGAACACCCTATAAATACAAAAAGTGACCCACACCCTATAATATAAGCTACATGCCAGTACAGTAAATATGCTAATATGGTATAGTATATAACAGTTTAACAATAAGTAAAGTGCTGCATGATAATATTCTGATTGACATTTTTATGCAAACATATTTACATGATTAAGGAGATAAGAAAGCTTATAATGGTAAATAGAATAACATAACATAACCTACAGCCCTTATTTTTGACAGTCTTGTCCAAGTACATGAGTTGATACTCATTATTTAAGAAATATAGACAGAAAAGCAGGGGTAATATCGTCGAATACACCCCGCAGGGCTAGGCACAAATGTTTTCTGTACCCCGAACGACTAAAGGGAGTGAGGGGTTCGAAAGCTTTTGTGCCTAGCCCTAATTGGTGTACTCGACGATATTACCCCTGCTCTGAGGTCTATATTATAATTCGAACATGAAAACTCACCAAATTGTTTCGAATATTCATCATGGTCCGTCATAACTACGACCCACCGTTATGACGTCACACATTACACTATTAACTGGGGTATTGATCTTGAATATAACCCAGCTGAAGCATTGACTTTGTTAACAGTTTATAGACGGCGTGAATACAATCATGTTCGAATCCTCTATTATCGCCCATTGAAATTCTCAATGATATACTACACTTCAACTGCTTCCAAATGTTGAGTTGCAGTTTCTGTTTCACATTTGACAATTGGCGCATATGCAGCCTTGGCAATAATACATGTCATAAAGTAATCAAATTGTCAGTTGGATTGTCAAGAATATTCTCTTATCACTCACAGAGTTTTATGTTTGTCTCAGTTCATTTTTGGAGACATTGCCAATGATTTTCTAGTATCTATTAAATGGAA